ATTTCAGATAAAATCTGGGTCCCTTGCCTTGAGGTAAAGGGGTGATGCTTCGCTCCCAAGGTCTGCAGAGTGTGTTGGGAGAACTGGCACTTGCTTGAACCACACATAAGGCTTTTCCGCCCATGATACTCTCTTCATGCTCCTCATAAAGAAACATCCATCATGTCTCCATGTGTGGTCGACGGACCACCTGTGGAGGCCTTACATGCCTGTGAAGAAGGAATGTTTCCAAACCTCACCCCGATGTTTTGATCCCAAATCTCTGAGGTGGGTCACAGGAATGCACAGCAACCACTGCTTCAGAGGGTACTTACTAGATGGCTACAGATAAAGTGATGAGGAGGATGAGAGAATGTGAGAACAGAACATCCTTTTCCTCATATATTTCTCTTGGCCTCCTCCTTGTCCTCTGAGGCTGAAGTCAAGGTCAGTTCAAAGAAAGCTGGAGTAACTATATTAATATCAGACAAAATGGACATTAAGACAACGTACATCTTGAATTTAAATAGGGTCCCTACACTATAATAAAAGGTTCAATTCACTATGTAGATTTAAACATTCTAAATTTGTAAGTACCTGCATCTAATAAAATTGCCTCGTGTATATAACTTTTAAAATCTGCTGGAAAGATAGGGATAAACTGACTAACCCACCAACAGAATAACAAATTTCAATACTCTTTCATTATTCTTGATAGACCAAGCAGGTAGAAAGTTGATTAAAATCTACAATATTTTGACAGCACAATTGACAAGCTTCAGATATTGGACATCTATAAAACCCTGTATCCAATAAACACTGCACATTCATCTCAAGCATGTATGGAATGGTTATAAAAACTGACCTCTTAGAAGGCCAAAACGAAAGTTTCAATAAAAGTCAAAGATAAGGTATCGTACGGACAACATTCTCTGACCATGCCAAAGTTAAATTAGAAGTCAACAATTAAAAGATAAAAACATCGACATAAAAATTTCAATACAAGCCTCTAAATAAATCATTGGTCAAAGAAGAAGTGATAATAGAAATTTAAAATACCGAGAGAACAGAATAATAATTAAAATCAGCATTTCAAAACTTGTTGGGTGCAGTAAAAAAAAGCACATAGAACTAAATCTATAGCTCTGAACATTGAGACTAGAAAAGAAGGTTGGAAATAATTGAGCCGAGCATCCAACAGAAGTTGGAAAAAGCTTACCAAAACTAAATCCAAACAAACTAGAATAACAAAGAGGAGAAATTAATGAGGTAGAAAGTGAATAATGCCACAGTTCGTTCTTTGAAGTAATGACAAAACAGATGTTCTCCTAGTGAGGTTGATTCAGCAAAAAACAGGGAAGGGACAAATAATGTTAGAAATAAAAACAATAGGCAAGTAAGATCTTTCTAAGGCGCTCAGAGCAAATCAGAGATACAGCCCCAGCTACAGCTTTGGCTGATGATGAACTCCTCTCTCCGGGACCCACAACAGTGCAATTCCATGTTTAACAAATAGTCAGTGAGGACAGGATGCTGGCGACACTGATGTTTGTGGGTTGGCCCACCGGGTTGGCCTTTTGTCGTGGGCCAGATGTACAAGAAGCAAAGCAGAGACAAAAAAATGAAGCACGCGGACAGCCCCAGAGATGAAAGCAGCCACTGCTCTCTTCTATGTAGCAGCTACTTCCTTCAGTGGACTTTCCTTTTATTCTGGAAGAAAAATTGACTGTAAAGGAAAAACAAGCGAGTCGATCTACTTCTAAACATGCCCTTAGGCCTGGTTGCTAGTGAGAGGGTAGAGAAAAGCTCTTCCCCCTGTACCCCCACCCCCACCCGCCCCATCCATGGCACACAAGTAAGCATTTAAAAATCCTAACATCAGTTTCAAAGACTCACTCCCTGGGCAATGACTTGAAACACTTGGGTGGTAGGAGCTCAGACTTCACTACGTCACACCAGGCTTTATTCTGCCCAGCGTCTGACAACCAGATAAGGCTGAGATGCAGGCATTAGAGAAGTCTGCACTGAGGAAGTTAAGTGTAGGTAGAAAATCCACAGCCCTGCCTTGAGCAGGAGAAACCAGTGGGGGAGCTGGACTGAAACGGCCACGCACTTGGCATTGACTTCTGACTTAATGCCTTGGCACTGTTTCGCCTTGTCAGATGAAAAGAGGGTGGATGAGGCTTAAGTGCCCATTTTGCAACGTTTGCACCAAGAATACAGAGAACCATTCCCATGAAATGAAGGCACAGCCTCCTCATCTGCCAGGCTGGCCAATTGTATTCCTGATACCGTGACATGAAACAAAATGGCACATTGGCCAGAGGGCCAAGATAGTAACAAAGTAAGTAAAAACATTCAAGGAGATTTCCTGCAGGTTCTAAAGTGTGAGTGATCTGGGTATCATGTTGCCTGCACTTGTTCCAAGGGCTTAGAGCCCCACATGGAAGAGAGGGGCCCCATTTACAGTGAAAACCCTTGCATCTGAACCCGACTTGGCTACATGTAGGTCTGGGACTCCAGCAGTCCTATCACATCTTCTGCCTCAGGTACCTCTTCTGTAAATCCAGGACAGTAATATCTCTCCAACGATAGCACAAGGGTTAAATATAATAATAGCCTTACAGAGACATTCCGCAATCTGGTCTGCCCTTCCACTTTACAAAGTTTCCCAATTCACTCCTTTCCCATGATTAATATGTGAGACCTCAAGTCCATAAAAACACACTGGGTACATGGTGTTAGCCAAAGATAGAACTAAGTCCCTTTAATCATTCTGACAGAATATGAAAGAACAAAAACGAATTGGATCATATTCTAAACCAAAGACAGTGAAATATTAGCCACGCAGAACTGAGACAGAATGAGTTGTTCTGGGTGGTTGAACCTCCTGAACAGATGAAGTGGGTGGGTCGGGGAGGCGGGGGTCCTTCTTAAGAATCAAAAACATTAAAAACAAACAAACCAGAAGAAGCAAACAACTTGGGAATTAAAAAGATTCTCCAAGATACTTCAAAACCTGTGGGTTGCCTTAAGGAGCATATTCTAAATATCGTTTTACTTTTCTGGGAAGACTTTCATTATGGTTCTGAGCACACTAAGCAGCCTCCCAGCCATGACACTGGTGGCGTGTGCAGGACCAACTGTGAAGGGTTTAATCTAGCTCCCAATTTTGTAGAAGAGAACGCTAAGCCGAGGGAGGTTGATTCACGCAAAGCCATCCAGCTCCCTGGAGACAGTGCCTAGACCCCGGTCTCCTGGCTTTCTGCCTCCCACGCCACCTTGTAGGAGCCACTGACTTTCAAACGACCACTTGTCCCTCCTTGAAATAACCCCAGAACCTCAGAATGTTTCTAAAGTATCTGTCTAAGAACTAACTTGCAGATTTTTTTATGTCTCCCTTCTCTGATGTCTGTCGATCATGTTTGCTCATGGAAACCCCACTCAAGTGTGTGTGCATTTTGCTTTTAAGGCTAATTTTATTCTTCGTTTGAGGTTTAAATGTCTTCAGAAACCAGGTGTCTATTCTCCAAACAGGGTCTTGTGGTTTGCCCTAAGCAGCGGCGCTGAATGGAATAGAAGCAGCCACCTAAGGATGCAACTCAAAGGAAGTACCAGTGACAACGCCCACTCCTACCGAAGTCCACACCCTATCCATTGCAACTGTGAAATCTTCAGTGACAAGACCGCTGCAGTGTGTAAAGCAGCCCCCAGTTTTACCCACAGATATAGTATAAATTAAAGCACCCAAACATACACACACTGCCTGGCTGGGGTGCCACGGCGTCTTAGCACTGGACGATGCACAGCGTGCTAACACCCACACACATGGTATTATAGAACATGCACGACCTCAAAGGTCTACAATCCCAACCCCAGAGGGATGGGGTCACCAGACCAAAGAACACCATTAACAGTGGCAGAAGAGGCACTGCTAACCGAATCCCACTGTTATCCACATCATTCAAGTAGATGTGTAAAAAAGTTTATGGCAATAAATAAAATAGAATAAAAACAAATTATTTTCTTTCCCAATTTGCCTGAGCACATTCAAGCATTTTTTTAAAAATTAAATTGATCTATGGTTACAAAGCTCAATAAAGTTGCTCATCCCTGTCACCCAGGCTCAATGGAGGCTGTCCCTATGAATTCAGGAAGATGGACAGGCAAACTTGGTGGCAGAAACAGCCCTGCCACCAAGGGTGAGGGGCCACCTAACCTCCAATGCACTGCCTGCTGGAGCATAGCCAAGGAAATGTGGGGACTGCCCCACCTGGCCCCAGCAGCCGCCACTGGTAAGTGGAAGCGTCTGCTACTTTCCTAAAATTTATTGAGGGGTGGGCGGAAGAATTAACACTCTTATTCAAAACCCCGCTTTCCCAACCTCTCTCAGATGTTGCTCTTTGCCCCAAAGCAGTTTTACCAAAATCGTTTCCCGGGACAGCCTCGACCTTTGTCCCCTTGCATTTCAGATAATCATTTTGGCAACCAGAGAAAGTTGCGCTGCCTTCAAACGTTGGTTTCTCCTTTCCTTTGCCCCCTGGAGACCACGAGCCAATTGGGACCGGCTCCATGTCGCTCACCCCAAGGCTGCAGATCTCTACCGCGAGCGGACCCCTATTTAACAATTAGCGCGCAAACGCCTCTCAGACATAACGGACGTAGCACCGGCTGCTTCCACTCCCGAGGAGGTGTGTGCGAAGCATCTTAGAACTTGCCTCCTTGGACAGCGTTCGTTCACACACGAAACCCAAGCCTCTCTCCGCTAACCCACTAGCGGAGGAAAAGAAACGCAAGGCATTGCCCCCGGCATTTGCGACGCAGCCCTTACAAGCGTGGGATGAACCTGGTAGGTTCCCAAAGGTAACCAACAGGTCCCAGCCTGCAAGTACCTTCCCTGGTGGCTAACTTGTCCCATTGCCCGCGTCTGCGGGACGGTGGGGGGGAGCACAGCCCCAGCCTCTCCCGAGCGCGCGCGCGGGCTGGGGCGCGGCGCCCCGGTGCGGGCCGGGCACCCTCACCTCGCTGACGATCGTGGAGTGGGCCTGGGCGTAGCGCCAGCCGCCGCGGCACGGCACGAGCGGCGCCGAGCGGTTGGGGAAGGCGGCGAGCGGGTCGGAGCAGCTGAGCGCCGCGCCGGCGGCGGTGCCGTTGGCCGCCTCCAGGAGGAAGCGCTGGCAGCGGTCGTGGCCGCCGCGCTCCGGCGCCGTGCGGTTCCACTCCTCCTCGGGGCTCCAGCCGCAGCGCTCGGCCAGCGCGGCGGCGCCCGGCCCGCGGCACCAGACGTGGTCGGGCCGGCTGCCCAGGAAGACCACGGCGACGAAGAGGAAAGCGAAGGTGACGCCGGTGAGGCACAGCAGCAGGAACACGCGCCGCTGGAAGCGCCCGAACTCGCCCGCCCTCTGCAGCGCCTCGTCCAAGGTGGGCATGGTGCGCGCCCGCAGCCCGGCCTCGGAGTGACCCAGGGCCCCGCCAGCCGCCGGCTTTACCCCGCCGCCTCCCCCGCGCTCCCGCCTCACGCCCCTGGGCACCGCGCCAGCGGCCGTGGTGCCTCCGGCCCCTGAGGCCCTCACGCCCACAGCCCCCGCCTCCCGTTCGGGGGCGCCCGCGGCCGCCCGGGCCACACTCCCCCGGGACGCCGCCGCGGGGTCCAAGTGGGAGCTCCGAGGGGCCGGGGCTGCGCGGCCTGGCTTAGCGCCACCGCGCGCCGGGGACCCAGCCCGGGACTGCGAGTGACGGGCACAGCCTCCGGCCTGGCACGGAGCTCCATTCGGTCCCTGCCAGCAGCCTGCTCTGCAGTCGCCCCGGGTCGGGCTCCAGGAAAAGAAAGTTCCAGGGTCACCCAACTGCCCCCGGGCCCCTCGGACTTGGCCTCTTGGCGGTCCCAAGTGCCGCCCAGGGAACTGCCGACGCGCGCCCCGGGCCCCGCGCCTGTGCCCGGGAGACGCCCCTCCAGTCTTCGTCCCCTCAAGGCGCAGAGGCCACGCCGAGCACCCCTGGCCGGGCAGCCTTTCCCTAGGACGGTGGACCAATCGCACAGCTGGACCACACGGGGTTCGATTTTGGCGACATCTCGGAGATTGTCCCACTTTTTCAACAGGACAGCAGGGCGTCCCTTCCACAGAGCGTCTCTTGTTAGAGGCCTGAAGTTCAACATGGGAAGGACCCTCAGGCTTGATACAGGTTTCCTTAGCCAGGGCCTTCCGACCTACTCGCGGCCTGAAATCGCCCGGAAATGGTATAGTTGGTTGGTCTGAATGGTTGTTTTTAATTTCTTTATTGTCTCCCAAAGATCCGCAGAGCCGCTGTCCGTTTCCTAGCTCAGCGCCCCGCCCCCCCTCCCGGGTTACCGGCCATCTCTAGGTTGCAGCCTCTGGCGGTGCTGATAATGCTCTCCCTGCCCTCATGAGCCTCCTACCTGGGGAGGCATCTTCTGAGAATTTCTCCAGCTCTTCTCCCCAGACCCCCACTCCCATCCTTCAAAAGCCTTCTACCCTTAGCTGGCTTTTCTCCAGGGCTGAGAGGCTGACAGCCTAGACCTTTCCTCCTTCCAGAGCGGGGACTTGGGGCTGGAGATTCAAACCCGCTTCATCCCCTCACCAGCTTGTGACCTTGGACAACTGAGTCAGCCCGGTGTGGTTGGCTGTCAGATGAGGCTACTACCCTCCTGGGGTCTCTGGGAGGACTGAATGAACTCATGTACAGAGGGTGCCAAAAAAGTATATACACATGTTAAGAAAAGAAAAAACTATTAAAATTACACTGATGGTGACCACTTGGATCACCTCTTGTAATTGCAGAAGTCAAATGTGACTTGTATTCATCTTTTGTTATCGGTATATATTGAGTATTACAATTTTAATACAGTTTTTCCTTTCTTAAAATGTGTATCCAGTTTTTTGGCGCCCTCTGTATATAAAGTGCCAGAAAAGCGCCTGGCACATCATGTGCCCTTTTCTGCGTTAGCTGTTATTACTGTTCTTACTTGCGGCTGAGTTGATACTACTGACTGTGCAAGGATGTTCGAGAATCACATACCTTGGAGAATGAAACACCTGGAGGCGTCGGGCAAGCAGGAGGGGCTCATTGAATGATGACTTTACTGTTCTCTTCGTTCCTTGAGCTCAGCTACCAAAGCACCATCACCCACATAGTTATGATTTCTGTGTCTACATGTCTTATGGTCCAGGGCCTAGTCCATATTTTTAATGACTCCCTGGGCCCCAGATTCAATCTCGTCTCCTCCTGCCCTCCATTTTAGTGTAACCATGGCCTGGCCCCCAGACTCAGAATCTCAGTATCACCTCAACACCCCTCACTCCTCAGGCCTTTGCTCAAATGTCACCCCAGCTCAGCCCCCTTGCTTTTCACCCCCCCCCNATACATGGGGGAAGGGGGGTTGTTACTTTGTGAGGATGAAAAGGATAACTATTGCATTGTTCTGTACACCTGAAACTAACAATAAAAAAAATTTAAAAAAACAAAACTTCAAGGCGGGACTTGAAAGAAAAAGGATTTGAATAAGTTTGGGAAGCCTTGGCAAGTAAATCAAACTTTTTTTGCCGCAAAACTTCTCGGAGCCCTTAAGGTACATTATAGCATCTCCAAGAGGGGACTGTGGTGGGCACTGCTACTTTGACTTTGGAAGCCTTCTCTCACAGAACATCTTAAAGGACTGGTAATTCCTGGCGGCATACTTTGGGAAATGTAGGCAACATGGCAAATGGTTGTATGAGGTGTGTGACAGTATCCTGTGGGTAAATGAGAGAAATGTGGCCTGGACAGTGGCTTTGATGTGGTGACTTTATGGCTAGTTAAAGAACTAGCCATAACTAACCCAAAAAGTGTGATGAGGAATCAGGTCCACACAATTGCATTTAGCCCTGTCTTTTTCCTTGCCATTCATTCATTTGTTCATTCATTCATTTGTTCACTTATTCATTCATTAAGTCCTCCTATTGGGCTGGGTGCTGGAGGGTCAGAGATTAATAACACAGTATCCCTATCTATAAAGAGCTTACTGTACAGGGTAGGAGTGGCAGAGAGGCATATGACATCCAATCAGAGGTGCCAGGCTGGAACGCTGGAGGCATAAAAAAGGGGCTGGTCAGTTCTGCCTGGGAGTCAGACAGCCCCTTGAGTTGGGTCTGAGCACAGGAATGGAACATTCCAGCGAGGAGGATAAATGTACAAAGGCAAAGGCAGGAAAGCCACATACCATGTGTGGAAGGCTGCAAAACTTCTCTTACAGTTGGGATCCGAGTGAAAAGGATTCCTATGATGGATGAGGTTGCTTAGTGGAGGAAAGAACCTTTAAGGATGTGAGACTAGAAGCAAGGTGGGCATTTAGGAGACTCTCCCAGTGGTCCAGGGAGAGGAAGTGGGCAACTCCACTAGGAAGTGACAGTGGGGATGAAAGAGACTGACGGGAGTGAAGGATGTTAAGGAGACAGTAGGACAGCATTGGGTGGGGCGGGGGGCAGGGAGAAAGTGGAGTCTAGGGCGACCCACAGGTATCTGACTTGGGTGACTGTGGAGATGGATGGTGGTGCCAGTCAAGAGGATAAAAGAAGCAAGAGGCTGGGAAGAAAGAGGAAAATCGGGCCGGCCGAGTGGCACGTTTGTTGGGAGCTGGCTTGGGACGCCAGAGGGCCCCGGTTCGGATCCCACATATGAGGGCCAGTGACACTGCCCTCTACAGCTAAGATGCTGAACAACAGCTCAACCTNTCCCCCAATTCCCCAGTGCTGTTTCCATCCCCCAAACCCCCAATAAAAATCTTTAAAAAAAAAAGAAAGAAAAAAGAAATAAACCCATCAGATTGTAGGGAGAAATGAATGAAACACTAAATTAATTTCTTAGCATAGTAGTATTGGACAAAAAGAAGGGTTCAATCAACATTAACTATTTTTCAAAAATCTTTCCACTTCCAAGTTGCACTCAATCTCCCCTCCCTCACGCCTCTTTCCTCACTCAGCTTGTGTCTCTTACCTCGTTATCTTGTGTCATCTGGGGGTAGGCACTCCTCTAACTATTGTATTGTCTGCTCAGTCTTCTTGTTGATAACCAGAACTGCATTATGTATTTCTCCTGGATGTATTCCCCAGTGTAACACCGGCCACTTCACGAGCTGGCCTACAAAGAACCTATCAACTCTCAGTGTCATTTTAGGGGAATGCGATGAATCATTTGGTTATAGCAGTTTACAATATTCATTATTTCCCGAATCTCTATTTTTTTATGTTCTGCTCTAATAATATCTTCCCCCATACACAAGTGGGAAAAATAAATTAGGTCTTCTGTGGTTTCCAGAAACCATTCCTTCCTGTTCATCCAAGAGCAAGAAAGCTATGATCTCACGTTATCAAAATGGGCCCAGACGCCTGACACAGTTGCTAATTATTGCTCCACTGACGTTTTCTGATGTGCCTCTGATCTGCCTGTCATGAGTAGGTGATGCCAGCACAAGTTTACAAAGGAAACTTGGCAGGGCAATGGGTGATTTATGCCGTCTTGCCCTTGCAAGCATGATAGAGACACAATCGGAAAGACCCTCAGTCTGTGTTTTGACAGATGTTTGTTCAACGGAGTGCATTTTATACCCCAGATATAGTGACAGACAAGCTGATATTTACAAAAATCTCCCCGCTTGGATATTTGATGCCTGGAGTTTTTTTTCTTTTGCCGATGGGATGTTTGACGTGATTAGCATAATCCTCCCTCGCATGTGAAGTGACGCAAATACCCCAGAAGTCATAATTCTAAGTACGATTTGTCAGATGGCAAGTCCCTTCTTCCTACTATGAATCCATCCAAATATTTTGGAAAGTTGGCTTGGAAAAACGTGAAATGGAGCTTTTCAATACCCGCTTTGCAGTAGTTTTTGAGGTATTATCCTTTCAGGCAAGGAAACGCTAATGGACATGAATAATGGAAACCAGTCCAGATGGTACATGAATGAGTGGCTGGGCGGTGCTCGCTACTCACCGCCATCCCATCAGCGGCACGTTGCGGATCGTCCAGGGTGTTAGGAGACTAAAGAAAGCTCACCTAATGCTCTGCAAGCTCACCTGGACAAATCAATGAGACAGATGGAGGTCTTAAATGGTGACGCGCCTTTTCACTGTTTTTTGGGGGGGGTTTTTTTGGTTTTTTTTTAGCTGAGCCATCCTGCCACCTGTTGGCAGCTCAGCGGCAACTCAGCTCAGGCCGGGCATTGAACCGCTGTTGCTCAGAGCTCAAACTCTTGAGTGAGCTCTTAACCAACTGAGCCACTCGGCCGGACCCCACCCTTTTCACTTTTAAATACGAAGGGCTGTAGTCCAGGTTGTATGTATAGATCCACCCAAAGCGCCTGTCTCTGAAATTTCAAGTTTAAAAACATGAAATGTTCAGGTTTTTGAAGCTCACCATCTAGAACATGTTGGAAATGATGTTTCCTTTCCTCAGAAGACGTTGGAAAATAATACTTGCATTTCCTTAAGGAGCGTGGAGTGAAGCTAACTTCCCAAAGGAAGCT